GACTCACTCGCTGCGAAGCGGACAAAACAGTCTAGCGAAGCATCTTTATATATATATACATCTCGATTTAGTTCTGTCCCGTCCAGTCCAGGAATAAACCAATTCCAAGGCTCGAGCTAAATCCCCCAAGGTCAGGTTGCCTCCCACTCAACCAGACAGTGCCAGAATGAACAAGAATTATATACATCCGCAGTTTGTTCATGCAGAACCGAAGAAACAAACTCGACTCCAGAGGCAATGAGCATGAAGAAGCAGTTGAAAGGGATACAACACGATGAAGAAGGACTACCACTGTTAATCAGAATTGGCTCTTGTATTTATTCAAATTTATTACAGAGAGCAATGAAACATTTTCAGGTAAAGTAGTAATGACATAGCCTGCGAACATCTGACACCCATGTGTGAGTGTGAAATCACTTGGGTGATTTGTGTTCTTGCAGCTGTTCAGGTGGGTCTTGGTTCCGCCAACACCTACCATAATCCACCTATTATACGGGTGGCAGGGCCATCAAGTTTACTTCTTATCATCACCCCGGCGGCATTTTTCAGAGAGACCATGTGTCGGTTTGTGCCCGCTCAAGTCGCGGTTGGTCTTGAGGTTTGTCCGCAAGAGGGGATGAAGGAGACAAGAGTTCGGTTCGTTGGGGTCTATGACATGTGAACAAGCACCATGCAAGCACGAGCATCCCCTTTTTCACGCACGGGTTGAGCTCCGATTTGCCACGCCGCCCAGGCATCACACCTTTTGCCTCCGTGATTTGCAACTTCTCGTCACGACTGCCCAGTGGGGCCAGGTGAGAGGATGAACAAAAATCAGGCGACCAAGGAAGATACCCCAGGTTCTTCAATTTGTTCGTGATGTTTCAATTGCCACTCTGGGCTTGGAAGCCAGGCCAGCTGTGGTTGGAAAAGCGGTTGAATGGCTCGGAATTCTACAGCTCGGTTTCTACTTGGGACGGTGTAAGCTGCCTTGACATTCAATGTCAATGTCGGTTAGGAGATCTTTTTTTCATATTCTTTATCTATCCAGGAACATGACATAGAGACTCGAGACAGAAAAGCGCGTTGAGATCCTCTTACTCTTGGGCTGCGGTCATTGGCAGCTCTTTGTGACCCCCGCCGCTCCGTCTCAGCGCCAGTCTCGGCACGAATTGATCGGGGGTCTTACCCCAAATATCCAAATTGGGAGCTTCTTTCGCAGACGAAGCCACCTAGCCCTGCATCCGGCCCCACCATCATGATTGACCACTACATCAATACTTTTGGAGCGGTGCCTTTGATGTCGGAAATGGGCTACACTCGCAGAACGAGACTGGAAGTGGCTAGGGCGTGTGATGTGTGCCAGTCTGTGCCGGCCATGCAGACGCCTAGGCTGGCCTTGATGCGGATGAGCAACCAACGAGTGGTTTATGCCAGGGTCCTGGTGCTGGAGACCGTGCGAGCCGCGCTCAGTCCTAGTTCGCCAACATGGACACTTCAAGGGGCGGGGGTTCTTGGGCAGAATGGGGTGAATGTTGGATAGTCTTTCCCCCAGAGGGTGTAGCTGCGGAGGCTGGTTGTCAGTGTTTCAACCCGGCGGTTCTGGCTTTGATACGTTTGATATGTTTCGTTCATGTTTTTGATATCGCTCATGCCGAGTGGACCAATTGGCTCAAGCGGCCCACTGGTTTGGCATGGATTCTCATGGACCGGTAGATGTAATGTGATATTGATTAGATGATTAGATGCCTCCCACGTCCCAACCTTTCCCACTGTTTCCCCCTTCCTCACGGCACAATTCTGGCGCCATGGATGCCCTTCTAATAGTGACAACTCTCGCCTGGGCTTGGCTCCCGGTGCATTGGCACCTGACCAAGTCCGATTGGCCACAGCTTTGCGAATGGATCAGGCACTGGCTGAAGCCACTGGATAAGGATCAGCAGAAAGAGCAGCGAGTGGAGGAGGAAATGATGAAGCTGCGACAGAGGAACTACAAGTGGCTGAGACGAGTTAAGCTCCAAAATGCACCGATCAGATATCCCAAAACACTAAATTACCCTAAAGTGTTGCTATTTCCGCAATTTGATGTCTTCAGACGCCCAAAGCAAGGTGACTATTGATATTCTTGGAAGTCAACATGCGTAGGACACATGCAAAAACACTGAATTGTGCGAAGGTGTCTGCGACCCTGCCTTTATATAGATCATCCGTTATTTATTTGTGGCGTTTTTGTGTTTTTCTTCTTTCTTCTTGCATGTTGGGACCGCATGCACTCCAACGCTCAAAAGATATTGTCATTCATTTGCAACATGCACACCTCAAAGCAAGTTGAACATTTTGGCACCAAAAGCATCTTGGGCACCCCCCGATGCAGACCAAAAAGGTGGGTTACCTCCACGCAGACCAAGTTACGCCCTCAGACTGAAGAATTGATCGTTTTGGTGCTCGCCTCAGTAGGGTGGCTGGGACCCGTGTAGCCGACAGTGTTTGGAGCCTGCCTTGGATCTTCTTGGGCCCCACATTTTGGACACACATTTTGCTCCTAGCAGCGATCGCCAGGAGCCCCGTTCGTAGCGTCCTTGCTCCGTTCGTAGCGATGCCCTTTGCTCCGTTCGTAGCGTCCTCTACCACTGCAATGGATCGCCACTGCAATGTGCTTGCTCTCCCATACCCTGGACAGATGACACAGGTGAAGTCAAAGAACGATCAGTTGTGCCACGCACGCGCGGGACGACCGAACCTAACGGAGTGGACCATACTGGTAGGGGAACTGAACACGGGCCACAGGCAATGCGTTTCCAGTTCGACGTATACTTTGAAGAAACATTACTTGACTGTTATATATATATACACACTCTTGGTCCACTTGGTACATTTTCTCGGCCCGGCCTCACAATTTGCCCAAAGATCTTTCGCACCACACATTGTTCAAAAGACCTTGCAGATACACTGTATATTTTCTTGCTTCATCACGAAAGGTAGCTTGAGCTACCTGAGTTCTCCTTGCTTTAGCAAAAATGTATTACAATCAGGAGTTGGGATTGTGCATTGAGTTTTGTCCTGTAAGAGATGATTCTGTTCGTGGGGAGGGCCCCCCCTGGATCAAATCCCCCCTGCGCCGGTTCACGCCGTCATGGACTTCTACCAGGGTTTCTTGTGATTGCCTGCTACCTTTCTTTCACCCCCTCCTCTCTCAAGTTTTACTTCCTTGTGTCCCTCGCCACACTACCCACCAAACTTTCAATTTGACATTTGCCCTTTGCACCTAGTGGCCACCGGTGGAAGCCCTTATCATCGCTCACGTTCCATGCTTCTCACATGGGTCAGGCGGATGTTTATTTTTCCGTCCAACACTTCGATATAGCAGGGAACATCATGGCTTTTGGCAGTGTTAGGCCTGCTAGGGGCATCACAATTAAGTGGTGCGGGATCCCTTCCTCGAACGGCAGAATGTGCACAACATTTGGCAGACACCTTTGTTTTTCCGCATTCCGCAGTTGCTCACCAGTGAGTTTCCTAGCATGTTGATCCAACATTAGCGGTAGTTACACTCCAATGTCATGCTTTGAGAGGTTGCTCACCCGGTGCTTTTCTCACCTGGGCCTCGTGATCTTTGTTCTCCTCCACGATGCCATCGCCGCCCCGGGCTTTAATACCATTTGCTTGGCTGTTTGTTGGCTCTTGGGCTATTTGCAGCACTTGCTGGTGGGGGGAGGTTGGGTGGACTTAACCGCACGACGGCTGAAGCTCTTGAGCTACTTCTTGCATGGGATGTTGCTCATGATCCAAATAAGCGAGGCGGCCACAACTGCGAATGCACCAGTCTCGGGGCCAGTGGACTTGTGCCATTTTGCTTTCATGGAGGGCCTTTACACCACCATACGCTTTTGGCTGATCTTTGCATTCCTCGACCCCGGGACCTCTGTCCCTTTCCAGTTGCTCTTCACGATCACAAATGCTCTGACCTACCTGGTGGTCTTCGGCTCGAAGGTGCCTGTGGGCCCTTTGGCATGTAAGGGCCATGGACCATGGGACCAGACGGATCTTGGGAAAAACCTGCAGCGACACAGTGGTTCCAAAGGTTTGGGTATTGAAAACGCCTCAACACCATCGCGCACCTGCAGTTGTGACAATGCTTGCGCACATTTCACATCCACAAAGACATCCCTGGACAAGAAACCATAACTCAGAGGCTTTTACATAGTGTGAAACTCCACCTCGAACGCAAAAAAAGACATTCACGGTGTCAGCCGCGGCCCTAGCAGAAGTCCCAGGTTTGCTGTGCTTCGGTGAAGTTTTCATCTTCATGGTGGGTGTGATCTCCTCGATTTTCATTGACATGGTCCTGCGCGAGCGGATCTATGCGATGCTCGACACTGCAGACGCGGAGTCCTTAATTTGCGGCTTCCGGCGGGTCTTGCGGGGACTGTGCGATGGTGAGGTGCTGCTGGACAGTCACATGAGTCTCGGCCTGGAGGGGAGTGGCCACTGTTTCGCGGGTCAAAGCCTGAACCGAAACGCATGATAAGGATGGCAGGGAGTCATTTGTGTTCGTTCTACAGTTGTCGCGCGCTTTGACTGGCAGCCAAACACGCATAGATACATACACCACATGACAGTATGTAGTTCAGAGCTCGAACTCAAAACTTCCTGCAACCATGTAGAGGCCCCACTGGTTTCTCTTGCGATCAGCACTTTACTGAGGACAATCGCCCAGGAAAGTGAATGCTTGAAACACTTGATTTTGACTGATGTGAACCTTGGTCTTAGCTGTCCAACAAGCTTTCTATTGTCCTTGGCTTCCCAGTTTGTGTGCAGCTGCCCCCACTACCGAGTTCAATAGACTGTTGTGTTTATATACGGAATTGCTTGTGACCCCACCTGATTGGGACAAGTGAGGAGCCTCAAAGGGAGGTGCTTTGGGCAGTTGTTGGCGGATGAGGAACGCACTCGCTTTGACGAATTTGTAGACTCCTCCACCAAAGCATTTGGCTTGCCCGAATCCAAGCATCTTGGAATGCTTATGATAGTTGGCTTGCCCGGTCATCAGCTTTCAAGTCCTGAGCGAGATGCAGCCCATACGACGATCACAATCTCTTGAGCACAACAGCTGTTTGACATCCATAGTTCTTTATTCTTGAAAGTCAATCTCATACTGAGTACTCGTCACAGACTGCCTGGTTTGATGCTTTCCTGCGGTTTAAGCCTTCTTTCAAGTAGAGATCTGATGAAGTTCCACCTTGTTCAGACACCAGAAGCCAAGATTGCAGGCATTCAGCTCCTCCTTTTTGCTCACGGGTCTCTTTCCGTGGATCGGCGGGCATCCGAGTGGCAGCAGATGTCTACCATGTGCCGGTGCCAGGGCTATTCGGCGCCAGCGAACCACATCACCTCATCGCCTTCAAGGAGGCTGTCTGAACAGCTTGATCAAATGCTTGAGTTGGCTCATTGCAGCTTACAGAATCAAGAATCGTTGCCTTTTAGTAGGGGCAATTCTTTTGATGATTTGCAATCATAGAGGTATGTTTTGAAATAGGAGAGCCTTTGGGTTTGTTGTGATCTACCCGCATGGTGGTAAGATGCGGCATTACACATATAGAGAGCACATATATAGATTGCATAGTAGCTTGGTGGTCGTGAGGTTGCAAACGGCCCCACAAGACAAAGCCCTCATCCTGTGACACAGCAAACCTTATGCTGCTGGACAGATGTAGCACAATCGTTACCATACGTCAGGGGAGACTGTCAGATCTGAGCGCATTACTTGCGAGGGATCGAGTTCGAGAAAGGGAATACCCAAGTCGTACACTGACTCAATAACATGGAAGCGGCTGGTGAGTGGGAGAAAAATCTCAACCCACGATAGATTTATCACGAAAGCTAGCTGTAGCTAGCTGGAGTCTGTCTTGCTTTAGCAAGGAGGGTGGGAGCCGAGGACCTGAGTGCAGATACCTGATTTATCAGGCTTTACCCCCCCCCGCGGGTTCAACTCCACCCTTCTCCTCAGTACCTGCTGCTGCTTGGTCTCTTGCTGCTTGCATGCTTGGTGCTGCTGATAGCCTTTGGCTGCTTGCTGGTTGCTGCTGACGTGTTGGGGCATGAGCGAAGAGTTCGGTGGGGGAAGCGGGTGATGAAGAGTTTGGTGATGTTTGGTGGAAGCATGGCAGTAGTTGAGTTTTCCCTTTGTGCATCCTATATTAACTATATTATTGTCACGCTGCCCCAACTCCTGTCATGGTACGGTTGATGCCATTCATGCGGTTCAGGGTTGCTGCACTTGTTGCAACGCAACGAATAGACACTCTCAGGTGAGGCGTGGTTTGTGAGGTGACACTTGGTCAGGAATCGAGGTGCGCCTCGCAACTTCGGTGACCCTGGCGGGGTGCTTCGCCGCATCCTTGCATGCTCAAGGGGGGCCATCCTGGTGGTCACGATGACCGTTCTTGATTTTTCAGGAATTATGCATCACGAGTGAGCAAGGTTTTGCCTAAGCCATCTAGCACACGGAGCCGCAAAGTCACTACAAGCGAGTGCAGGCATGACGTTTCCAGTTTGGATATTACGATGGTATTGCACAAGTTTGCAGAACCAAGAAATATACCACACACATTAGGAGCAACAAAGCTACTAAGGGCTCCTGGCTCTACTACTAGGAACAAGGACGCTACTCGGAGCAAGAAGCTATGAGGTGCCAAGTGAAGACCAACGCTACTACCACACACATATTCGTGCACTTGCACTTCAACGCAATTCTCCCCGCTTCTTTCCTTCTCTCCTTCCCCAACCACTTGTCCCCTAGCTTTCGCCACCCCCCCTGGGCCACAAGTGCTTCTTTGCGATGCCCTGAGACAGGACACTGAATCGCGTCCACAGCCTGAAGCTGAAGAAGGTTCTGTTCCTGCAGAACTCCTGCGTCGTCGCTTGTCCTGTGCTGGGTCACCCTTTGATTTTTCTTGCTTGAAGAGGAGAACGCATTTTCATGTTTGACCTGCTTGCAGCCAGGTTTGGAGATGACGCAAACTCAGTGCATCATTCATGATATATAGATTATGTCCAGTGTAAAACCACAAACAATATGTGTCATATAGAATCTACTTGCACATCTTTAAGCTACAAAAGATTGAGCAGCCATTGGTGCAGGCATCAGCCCTTTGCAGTATCGACCGCCCGACACGGCTTCCATTGTCTCGGGGAGCAGCAGAGCTTCGAATTCGGACTCATGTCGCGAACTGCGAGAGATGACGTTGCTGATCAATGCGGAGACCGAACTGCAAGATGTGGAAGAGGTGGGGGTGCATTGGGCATTCCGGAGGTGGTGAAAATAGCTAGCAAGTGGCTGTAGACATATGTGACATGAGATGATGGAGGAAGAACTCCCGAAGTGAAGCATCGTTTTCGTATGTTTCCATTGTCTTCAGGCGCATTTGAGGTATCGGCGTGATGAGGAGCCCGCTGACATTGCCACAGCCTTGCAGTCTGGTATGCCCAGCTTGCGAAAGATGGTGAAGCCTACAGATTGGGAGAAGATGCGATCCAGCGTGGTGAGCTTTGCAGAGAGGGCCTCGCATGATCCGATGCTCAGCTAGCAGACCGGTTGTGCCAGGTCAGTCCCAGTAGTCATGTCGGACCTTGATTTCCAAGCCGCCAACACAGCATTCAAGATATTTCCAGAGTATCAGATTCAGGATGTTCAATGATCTCCATTCGGGGGGATTAATGACCAACATCCGACATAACATTTGGCATTGGGAAAAGACTTGCAGTCAACCGATCAGTAAATGAAATCAATCGCCGGGCAGCTCCCTTGATGGATGGGTTGAACAAGAGATGAGAAGATAACCTCAGATGATTTGCATTGTAAATTTAGAGTCGCATAATTATATATTTGACTTGGACAAGTGAGGAGGATCCAACCCAAAGTCATAAAGCGAATGACCTTGGAGTGGCCTGGAAGCGGGCGGCTCATGGCAGAAGAGGCTTTCATCAAGAGGGCCGGCACAGAGCCGAAGGTCTGGTGGCTTGACCTGATCGACTTTTGGCATGTTTTATTGTTGAGCCGCCAGGTCCAGAATCGAGAAGGGAGGAGAGAACCGGGGTCTTGGGTGTCGACAAGCTGTGTGGCTTTGCGTGCGCACATAGATGTCCGAAAAGCATCCCGAAACGGCGCTTGAGGTTGCACGTGACCAAATTGCATCCCGAACGGCGATGGGCACGGCCGGTGGTTTTGGAGGGCATTGAGGAGATCGGGGCACCAAACTGCACCGGCAGGACACATCGTCCTTGATCTCAAGGAAGCAGCCCCTCAGTTGGCAAAGTGCAGGGCTGAACACCTTACCGAATTCACTGACGAACAGATTTAGTGGTGGGTGAGACTTCCACTGCACTGAGATGGTAAGAAGTAGGGAGATCCTTGGCACAGCACACTTGAGCCGTGCTCGAGGTAACTTTTGAACTTGCAGGCTGCAGATTCCCTTTTCCAGCAGGTGCTTTCAACCAAGAACCACGAACAATGGTAGACTCCCGTAGACGTGTGTTGCTTCAGTTGAGTACGAGAAATAGTCCTGCGACTGCACTGGCTGAGTATCAGCGGGCGCGAATACTTGCACATGCTGGTGCACTGTGCAGACCTTCAGACGGTTCAAGTGAGGGATTGGCAGACGGAACTGAAGTTTTCGCCGCAGGCTCTCCGCTCAAAGGGCGGACTCGGAGTTGTTGCAGCATGCAAGGTGCAAAAACCAACGGGCGCTGGGTCCTTCAGGAAGGGCAGACATCATCACTTGACCCTTCATGACGTGAGAAGTCATCACGCATCTCACCAAGCACAGCTCCCGTAGTTTGCATGTCGTGAAACTTCTGCTCACCGGCTTTGGATGTTGCCCTCGTAGCTGACTCTGTCGCCCTTTGTCTTGGCGACTTTGAGCGCACCCGTCCACGTCGTCCACGTGGCTCAAGCAACGTTGGCCTCACCCGTCCACGCTGGTTCCGCTGGGCTGACAGTTTGGTCGGCCATGGAATCGGTCAAGGGCTTAAACGTATATATATATATATATATCATTCCGTGAGGTGTCTCTCAGAATGGGGCCATTTCCAAACATGGCTTTTACATTTTAAACTCGCTCTCCCTCTTCCAGCTGCTTCCTTGCCTTGCACTTGTGTTTCACCATCTCGCCATGCCATGGATGCCTTTCTTTTCGCGACAACTCTCGCCTTGGCTTGGCTCCCCGCGCATTTGCACATTACCAAATCGGATTGGCCCCAGCTTTGCACATGGATCAGCCACTGGCTGAGGCCACTGCAAAAGGATCAGCAGAAAGAGCAGCGAGTGGAGGAGGAGATGATGAAAGTGCGGCAGAGAAACTACAAGTTGCTGAAATGCGTTTAGCTCTCAAAAATGCTCAGTCAGTTAGACAGCCAAACAGAGAGGGAGAGCAACGGCTTTTGCAGAGAGTCTTGGGAAGGTTCGGAGGTTTGTTTTTTCCCGTTCCTCAGTTGAACTGGGAGCTGTCCTTTGCCAACTGTGATTAGTTAGTTCATTAAAGGAACTAGTTTTGGATTCTTGAATGCCGAGAACAAGAATCCCCTCAAATCAATAGACACAGAGAGAGAGAGAGAGAGGAGAGAGACAGACAGAGACTGAGAGCTTGTTTTCCCAAGTTTGCTCATTTCACTATGTTCTGCTCTCCTTGGCGTATTCCATGTGGTGAGGAAGGGTCGACACACACTCTGACATTGGTTTGCTGTTAACTCAATTCCCAGGTCAAAAATGGTGAGGGAACGGAAAGGTGAAAGAGTCGGCGCAATTGTATTGTTGAAAAAAAGGTTATGCATGACTGCTCAACGATCAGCGCGGTTGCACATCTGCATGGTGACAAGAAACGAAACTGCAAAACTGCAAAGCCGTCAAAGTTGGAGGCCCTCGCTCTTAGGTTGGAGGCCGTCGAAGGCAGGTAAAGGGGCCGCTAGTAGGTTGGTGACAAGAAACGAAACTGCAAAACTGCAAAACCGTCAAGGTTGGAGGCCCTTGCTCTTAGGTTGGAGGCCGTCGAAGGCAGGTTAAGGGGCCATCGCTAGTAGGTTGGTGACAAGAAGCATAAAGAGACATAAGATAAACATAAGTAAAACTATCTGTTTTAGTTGGTACACTGAGCTTGAGGTCCGGGCAAAGAGTGCAAAGCACTAAATCAAATCGAATTGACTTCTGTCGCTTTGCAACTGCGCTCGATGGCAGCTTCTGCCGCTCTGCAACTGCGCTTGATTGCAGCTAAGAACAGTCTGTCTGAAGACTGTGTATTCCGCTTGTGAGCAACTATCCGGCACCGCATTGGTGTGCAAAGTTCTGGAACCTCCAAAATGAGGACCAATGTCTTCTCTCGGGAAGGCCCGTGCCAGCTATAGAGTCCCACGAAGGGTCTCGACGGTGTCGCCAATTCTGGCATGCACCCTCTACACACTGGGGAATGAGTCTTGAAGTAGGAACGTTAGGATGATGACAAAGCCCAGAACCTCCTAAGTTGGTGTCCTTGAAAACTCGATAAACCAAGCAAAGTCGGCGACACCATCGATCAATGCATTAGCCCTTTACGGTGAGTTAAAATGGCAGGTACACAAGAAGGCGTCCCTTCTCGCTTCACCAGTTGTGAGTCCGTCTTCGTTGTTCCAGGGCCAACTCACAACTGCCTGGACGCCCCCCCTACTCTCAAAAGTCGATAGAGTTCAACTAAACTCGTCAGCCGCGTGTAAGAGTGGGTTACACACACACAACTGACTGGGAACTGGCCAACGCCCCGAATCACCAAACTTGTAAGCCTCTTGCAGTGGGAGGTTCGCATCCGTCAGCTATCAGTTGTGCATCATTTCTCGGTTCGGTGGGTTTCTGGGTTTTGGAAAAGCCCACCGGCGCGGTGGTTGGTGAGTTTCAACCTCGCGCCCCCGTCGCGAGAACGACGCTGCAAGGTTGCTGACTCGGTGGTTTTCTCACTTGAGCATGGTGGTGATTTTTGTTCTCATCCACGACGCCATCGCTGCCCCGCGCTTCAACACGATTTGCCCAGCCATTTGTTGGGGCGTGGGCTATCTGCAGCACTTGCTGGTGGGGGGTGCGTGGGTGGACTTGACCCCACGACGGCTGACGTTCTTGAGCTACTTCTTGCATGGGATGTTGCTGACTATTTACTCCAGTGAGGCGGCCACAGCTGCGAACGCTGCAATCTCGGGGTCGTTGGACTTGTGCCATTTTGCCTTCAAGCAAGGCTTTTATACAACTATACGCTTTGTCCTAATCTTCGGATTGCTCGACCCCTGGACCTCTGTCCCTTTCCAGTTGCTCTTCACCATCGCAGAAGTTCTGGCCTACCTGGTGGTCTTCGGCTCGAAGGTGCCTGTGGGCCCTTTGGCATGTAAGGGCCATGGACCATGGGACCAGACAGACCTTGGGAAAGAGAGACTTAGACATGCCTGAACACACCATCCCGTGCTTGTAGTTGTGACAGTGGTTGCGTGCATGATATCCACACAAACACACACCCCCGTGAAGAAATGATAGCCCACGGACTCTGTGTGAAGGGGCCCCGCGTAGATATGACAAACTAACTGACTGCTGTGGGCTAAAGCAATTCGCAAGACAAGTGCTTGGTGGGTGGTCTCATGACTCCATAGACCGTCCCAAAAAAAACAAACAAACCTCCCAACATGAACCATCTTCCACACACCCTTGCGGTGGCTGAGAGTGGATGGATTTCAGCATGGTAGCTCCTAGTAGGTGAGTGCAGACAGGGATCTGGGTCTCTGGATCGGATCCTTGTAGGCCCAGCCCTATATATATATAACTATTGTGAAATGGAACATGTTGACCCGCTAGCGACCACATCTCATGCAGTTGCAGCAGGTTTGACTGTCACACAGGCATGAACGACCGCC